AGTTTGTATGTTCTCTGCCTGTTCTGCAGAGAGTGGGTGTGAGTCTGTGAGTGAGTGAGTGGAGTTTGCATATTATCCCCTTTGGTCTGCAAATAGTGAATGTGAGTGAGTGACTGATAGTGTGAGTGAGTGATAGTGTGAGTGAGTAGAGTTTGTATATTCTACCACTTGTTCTGCATGGAAAATTGCCTCCCCATACCGAATACAAATGAGGTCACGTGAAGGGATTGCAGATGTAGTTCTGCGATATCCGCTTCTGCGGGCCGCTTCTCTCACACGAAGGACCGCACACGGCTCCCAAACGGATTCTTGGTCCCGTGCCGCGGCATCGATAGCAGCGCTATCCGGACAACCCAAGCCGGTGCCATACCAACACGTGACCCTCCACTCGCACAGATTATCGGTGCATCGTCCACCGCCGGCGACCACTCGGCGAACTTGACCACGACCGCTTTTTTTCATCCGCGCAAATTCTCTCCATCGCAAAGCGGCGACTTTCTGCAGCCAACGGCGCTCTCGCGGGATTATCGCGAGAGGCGCGTCTCAACTCGAGCCCTAAACGCGTCCGCATCTCAGCATCCATCACAACCCGACGTGGAACAGGTCAAAGAACAAGCCACGCACGACTGGGTCATTACTGAATTAGCCACGGTGACAGTCAACGCGTTAAAAATACTCCATGTCTCGCCTCTGCTATTTTTCTCCCCTTCAAAATATTACCTCCCGGCTACATGCATTAATTAGGTGGTCCTTGTTACCAGCATTAATTACATTTCAACTAAAATTAGACCGCGCAGACCGCGACACGTGACCGACGTGAGATAATGACGTCTGGGGGATTGTCACAGGCGCGCGTGAGGGCGACGGTGGCCCCGGGACATCTCGCCGACGGGCAGCTCCCTGGCGACGTCCACGCCGAGCTGCTCGTGCGTGGATGGCCACGCTTTCGTACGGGTCCAAGCAGAGCGGGCGTCTCCACCTGCTTCAATGAAGGTCCCTTAGCCGACCGCAGCCTCTCGCCTGCGGCTGCGCTCGCTGCAGTGACCTGCAAGGCGGTGCGAGTCGCGCGCGTTGCCATCGCACGCACGCCTCTCTCAACCTTCTCCGGCCCTCCTGGACTGACCCGCTCTTCCCTGATCTCCCCTTGGCCTTCCCTTGCATGCAACAATTGATTGGTTTATGTACACACAGACCTTCCCTGGAATCCAGAGTGTCTTTGGTTCTTCGTCATCTCTGATCATTATTGGCCTTCCCTGACCCTCCTTGACCTTCCCCGACGTACCAACATTTCTTAGTCTTCACAATCTTCCAACCACTATTGGTGCTCCAATGATGGACTTCCCCGGCAAACTGGCCTGCCCGAATCTTCAGTGGCCTTCCTATGACCTTCCTTGACCTTCCACCGGCGCAACAACCGTCCCTGGCCTTCCTTGACCTTCCTTGACCTTCACGGTCACGCCACGAGGGCCCTTACCAGGCAATGCGTCGGCGTGGCCGTCTCGGAAAGGTCCCCTCGTTCCACGTCCCCAGACAAGCGAGCGAGCGAGCGAAGGAGCGCCACGTCTCCTGACACGCGGAGGCGGTGGCCTCATCAATATTCCAGGCACTGCCTCCTGCAGCAGGAGCCCCCCCCCCATCCACCCACCGCCTCCCCGTCCCCCGCCGCGTCCGCCGCTCAGGCACCGACGCCACGGCACGTGCACAACATTCACCGCCATCGCCGCCACTCCGAAGCCATTATTCGCTCAAAAATTACATTTTATTGTGAAGTTTTTTTCTTTTATTTTTGATAATCCAAGCGATTCCGCAGCGCTGCTCGTTCGTACAAATGCAAAGTGTCTTCACCCTCCCCCCTCGTTCCCTTCCACCACCTCCCCCCCCTATCCGGCACCCAGTCAACATCCCACGAGCGAACCTTTTCACGCAATGCCTTTTGCACAACAAATCCGACATTGGAGACGTCGTCGAGTCGAGTGACGGAGACTTCGCCTCCAGTCAAATCGTCCGCAAACTGCCGGATCTCTCGGCGGAACAGCGGAAAGTCACGATTCGATTGCACAGTACTTCTATGTTACCGTTGTACGTTCTCACGCCTTCGCCAATCAGCGGCGGAGCAGCCTTGGTGAAGTATGGTCACGTAGCCCCCCACGCGACCCGCACACGACGAGGAGGTGGGAGGGTGGGGAGGGTGGGGAGGGTGGGGAGGGTGGGGAGGGTGGGGATGGTGGGGAGGGCCTTCGCCCAGCAGCGGGTTGAGAGAAATGGCTTCAGCATCAAGTCGACCGAGTGTGGCGTCACGGAATGAGCGAGCCACCTCGACGCGCGTCTGGTGTCTGCTTCGGCGAGCGCTGCCAGCGGCGACTTGGCTACAGAAGGGGGTCTCGGGAATCACTGGGGGGGGGGGGGGGGTGAGACGCGCTGGCAATGCCCCGAGGTCCAGGCGTTTCAAATCCGGGCTCACACTCGGGTGGTTGAAACCGTTTCTTTTAATTGCATTACCGCTTACCGTATGGGAAAGTCCAGGAAAAAAAACGGTTACTGGTTTGGCGCACAGATTTAAATGTTCAGCAAGAAGCATAGCATGGTTATTACTTCTTGAACTGACACACAGAGGAGGGTGCCACTGTGGTGTAATGGTAGCACCACTCGTGACTTGCAACCCAGAGTGCTCCGGTTCGATTCCATCTCCCGGGGCGGCAGTCATCCCAATGATACACGTTTCAATCAGTCAATTGATTTATAAACTTCCACTAGAATAGGAAATCGATTCTGAAAACGGTTACCGGTTTCGCCCATTACAACCCTAGTCCACAGCAGATCAATGCATTGCGTAGCTTAGTCGCGTGCAGTTTGATTGCACGCAACCAAGCACGCAATCAATCTGCGATCAATTGCACAGCCGGTTGCTCACAGTGCGGACGGACAGACTCGACTTTTAAGTATCGTTCTGCTCGGCGATCTGAAGCGACGCGCTTCATGGCGAGCTGCACGACGATCGGCTCGTTACCATTCCGAATGAGCGCGTCGCGCAACTGCTCGCTCCGAAGTGGACAAAGCGGCCGCGGGCGTTTGCGTTGCGCGACCGCCCGCCCGGACGCCCATCGTTCTCGGCGCGCTGCGGTGCCGCTGGGCCGCACGTCGCGATCCGATCAATCGGCAAGCGCATCCGGTGGTGAACTCGCGCGGCCAAGAGCCCAACTCTCAGAGCGACGAATGGAGCTCATCCGCCCGGTTCGTCGCAACATCGTGAGATGTGGCTGCGGCATGGAGAGGAGAGCTCCCTCATCCAGCAGTGGATTGAGCATGGCTGATAATCGTGATGATCGGAGTAAGGATGAGACACGGGATTAAACGGTCCCAAAAAAAATCTAATCTGGACGAAACACTGACTCAGTGATTGGGGGGAGGGGGGGTAAGACCTGCAACTCCGCACAGATGAATCCAACAATCCATTGCTGTAAACTGCCAAATCTCCTGGCCGCCTCGACGCTCCGATTAGCCCGCACCGCGTCAAAAAGGAGGCGCGCATGAAACCAACATCGCAAGATCCATATCCATCGATTACATTTCGCCGCCTCTTTGCCGTGCAGCGCGTTGCCAAGTGGCACGAGTAAACATGCACGGCCGCGTGAACACAGCTGCCGGAGAACCTCGTTAGCGGGGGGGCGCTCGCTCCCTGCACGTGGACACCTGCTGCTACTGCTGCTACTGCTGCTACTGCTGCTACTGCTGCTACTGCTGCTACTGCTGCTACTGCTGCTACTGCTGCTACTGCTGCTACTGCTGCTACTGCTGCTACTGCTGCATCAGCCGCCCCCCACAGGATTGTAGGACACATCCCGATCCCCCATCTCAGGACGCTGCGAGCCGCGCCTGTGCACACCTGTGCACACCTGTGCAACTAAGCACACCTGTGCACGCCTGTGCGCGAACAGCTTATGACCAAATCGGCCGAAACGCGCACTTCAATATTCGGAAGCTAAGCAGGCGTTTGAGCCTGGTTCGTACTCGGATTGGGAGACTGCATGCAGGGAATAATAACCAACGGGTTGTGTAGGTTTGGGTTGCGAGATGGCAGTACAGCAATGGATTATTGAATCTATCTGTGCGGAGTTTTGAGTGTGTGTGTGCGTGTCACGCCCTGCTACTACGTGGTAGGGCTGTCTGGTTTGCTCTCACACGGAGTGCAACTTTCATTAATCATGGAATTCGTGGCCAAACATCCCAATGCAGCAGCAGCACCCTCATCATCATCATCATCATGAGCCATGTTCAATCCACTGCTGGATGAAGGCCTCCCCAAGCCACCGCCGCCATCCCTCGCGCTCCCGCGACGTAACAATCCACCCAGCACCTGCGTGCCACCTGATTTCACCGCTCCATCTCCTCTCATCAATACAAAGCGTGTGCTACGAAGAAGGGTCATTGCTCCAAATATCGCCTATTATATACCTTGATCGAGCCCCGTGGAGAGAGAGATCAATATCAGACGGCTATTCCCTCCTTCCCTGAGCTGCGACCGCTGCCACACGGGAGCAGAATTGACACCAGCGAGTGGCAGGATACAGACGCCCCAAGAGAATGCTGACAGCTGTAACACGGCAACAGCAACAACAACAGCAGCTAGAGTAGTAAGACACACTGTTGCGGGCAGCGGTAGTGCGCAGTTGTGAGATCACTCCCCCATGAAGTCGGCCACCTGTGTTCGATCCCCGGCCAAGGACGGCTAACGACATCGATGGCGAGTGATGTCTGACCGGGCGTCCCCCCCACTCTAACCCAAGGCAATGTTGTACTGTACTATACCCCAACGTCTATGCTCCCCGTGTTCGGCAAACCCCGACTGATCGGCGACGTGGCGAAGTATGAGCAAACGATACGCGGCAGCAGTGGCTCGGACAAAAGGAGTTGTGATTATAATCATCATTTTAACCACGTCGCGTATCATAATGCAACAACAATAGTCGTGATGACGATGGTGGTGGTGGTGATTGCGTTACCGTTGGCAGAAGCGGCTGCATTTGCGCTCCCTTGTCCTCGTCCATTGCCGGCGAGAGAGGCGCGGGGTGGGGGTCGCCCTGCGATGTTCAGCCGGTGGTGCTCACCCCGGATGTGCGATGGTCACTCTGTGCTGGTCACTCTGTGCTGGTCGCTGGGTGCTGCTGCTCACTGCCGCGATGTTCGCGAGCCGCACTCGTCGTGTGCACGCGGGGCTCTCCGCGGCTGCGTCTCCGAGGCGACGGTGAAGCTCGCGGCGACACGAGGGGGCGGGGTGGAGCTCGGTCAGAGGCTCCCTCGCCGGTCGCTCTTTCGGCTCCGCGAGGCGCCGAGACTCCTAATCGCCTCGCCACGACGCTATCCACGCGTCGTCTCCTCCTCCACCGCTTCCGGAAACGCCATGTATGGAGTGAGGCACGCGGGGCTATCGCGACTCAATAGAGACGTGCCCGCGGTGGTGATGGTGATGACGGTGGTGATGGTGGTGATGGTGATGTTTATTCATGAATCGCAACCTCGTGCGCGTCTCGCCGCCAGCGGGGTCACGGCGCACGGCGACCGGGCGCACCCAACGCGCGCGTCCGCGTTGCACAATCGCCGCTGCTGCCACTGCCCCTGCTGCCGCCGCTGCCGCCGCTGCCGCCGCTGCCGCCGCTGCCGCCGCTGCCGCCGCTGCTGCCGCGTGCAATGCGCGCGGCCGCGTGGGTGGCCGCGCTTTGTTGGCATCGACGCGCGATTGCGCACGCCGTATCTCGATCGCCCCACTGGGGGATCGCGTCCCGCCGCGTAAACAAACAACAACAACAAGCAGGTGCACTCACTCTGCACGCTGCGCAGGGCTTTGTAATCTGAGCCCCCTCTCTCCCCTGCTCCCTCTCATCGTCACCAAACTCCTGCCCCCACGTTTCACGTCTCATTTCCACCCTCCTCATCCTCCTCCCGCACCCTCCTCGTCCTCCTCCCTCCTTCCATCCCGCGCACTTCACGGCGAGCAGCGTGAGCGTGGCCAGGAGCCGTGAGAAGGGCGGGACAAAGACGGTGGTGGTGGGGGGGCTCTGTTATCTCGCACAAAGCTGCCCCCCACTCGCTCACGCACGGATCGCGGTTCCCAGCCCAGTGGCTGTAACGCAGCAGGTGTCTTGTGGTCACCTTGTGGTCACCTTGTGGTCAGGGCGACCACCATTCCTCGCTACAGCGCTCGCCCCCCCCAGCCCCCCCAGCCACACCACTTAACATCATCTCACAAAACCACTGCCCCCCTCCATCCCACCCAACTCACGCAGTCCCCCACCCCCAATCGCCCACCTAACCACGTCAACCCACATCCAGCGGGCCGTGCCCCGCTAAGGCCACTTTGCTGCTGTTGCTACTGACCGATTCGACTGCTGTTGCTGCTACCGCTGCTGCTGATGACGATGGCGCGACTGATCTGGTCACTACCGCTACTGCTGCTGTTCTTTCAGATGCTGCGACTGCTGCTGCTGCAGCTGCCGACACTTCTACTGCGTAAATCAGCGGCGTCTCAGCGGGCGAAGAGCGCATGGCTACGTGCCGAGCTCCAACAATTGTCCTTCCTTCATTCATTCAATCGAGCGATTTATTCATTTAATTATTAACTAACTCCGTAACGCGTGCATTCAAATATGCATGCATCAATACGGTGAAATCCCGTGCATTCATTCGTTGAATACGTGATGATGCTCCATCACGCGTGAACCCAGCCACTCACGAATTAATTAACTAATCGGTTAATTCATTCACGAGCCCGTTCGTTCATTAACTCGCATGCACGATTCTGAAGCACGACGCTCGTGAAACCAACGAATTGATTCACTCGCGAATGCATCGACGTATCAACTCACTCGTGCATTCACTCATTCGCAGACTCGCTTGCAGGCGTGCTGATACTGCTGCTGCCGCTGTTGCTGCAGGACGCGCTGCTCGTTCATTCACGGCCCCCACGCTGCCAGGGGCTGCAGAGCAGACCTCGTAGGTAGTGAGTGACTTACTCATTCATTCATATATTCATTCACTCGCTCGCTCATTCACTCGCTCATTAACCCATTCGTAAATTCACTCGCAGGCGTGGCGCTGCTGCAGAGCAATCATGAACCAACTCATTCATTTATCAAACGCTAATGCATTCATTTGTTTCAACCGCCCGCATTGTGTCCAAAATGCATTAATTCGCTCATTAATGTGTCAACTCACTCATGAACTCATTCCTTTACTCATTCGCACGCGCGCTGCCACAAAGCGGCGTTGACTCTCTGCGTCCGTTGCAGTCCAGGATCAGACTCGGCCGTCCCGTCCCTCCCCGTGGCCGTGACTCACGGGACTCCCTCTCCTCTCTGTCACACATCACCCGCACGAGGCTTTTCCATACCGCGGATTGAGAGATGCGGTCGCAATTTAGAGGCGGCTACGTCAATCCACAACGGCGTTATTGTTGTTGTCATTGTTGTTGTTGTTGTCATTGTACCTGCATTGGGGCAGTTGTTATCGTTGTTGTTGTTGTTGTTGTTGTTGTCGTTGTACCTGCGGTGGGGCAGTGGTTATTGTTGTTGTCATTGTTGTTGTTGTCGTTGTACCTGCGGTGGGGCAGTGGTTATCGTTGTTGTTGTCATTGTTGTTGTTGTCGTTGTACCTGCGGTGGGGCAGTGGTTATCGTTGTTGTTGTCATTGTTGTTGTTGTCGTTGTACCTGCGGTGGGGCAGTGGTTATTGTTGTTGTTGTCATTGTTGTTGTTGTCGTTGTACCTGCGGTGGGGCAGTGGTTATTGTTGTCATTGTTGTTGTTGTCGTTGTACCTGCGGTGGGGCAGTGGTTATCGTTGTTGTTGTTGTCATTGTCGTTGTTGTCGTTGTACCTGCGGTGGGGCAGTGGTTATCGTTGTTGTTGTTGTCATTGTCGTTGTCGTTGTACCTGCGGTGGGGCAGTGGTTATTGTTGTTGTTGTTGTCATTGTTGTTGTTGTCGTTGTACCTGCGGTGGGGCAGTGGTTATTGTTGTTGTTGTCGGTGTACCTGCGGTGGGGCAGTGGTTATTGTTGTTGTCATTGTTGTTGTTGTCGTTGTACCTGCGGTGGGGCAGTGGTTATTGTTGTTGTTGTTGTCATTGTTGTTGTTGTCGTTGTACCTGCGGTGGGGCAGTGGTTATTGTTGTTGTTGTCATTGTTGTTGTCGGTGTACCTGCGGTGGGGCAGTGGTTATTGTTGTTGTTGTCATTGTTGTTGTTGTCGTTGTACCTGCGGTGGGGCAGTGAGGCATTGGTTACCCAAAGCCTCACTGAGTCTCAAGACTCGCTTTCAGGGGGACCCTGTCTGCAGGCGTTACGGAAGTTGGGGGAGGAGGCGATGCTGCTGTTGCTGTTGCTGCTGCAGCATCGCGGCTACGAAGCCCGCACCTAAGTTCGAACCCCGGCCACGGCTAACATCAGTGGCGAATTACATCACCAACCCGCATAGACCAAGGTGGTGAAGTATGGTCAACCACATGACCTACATGACGTGGGGGAGGGGGGGGGGGGAGTAGGGGCCGTCCATAAATGACGTCACGCACCTAAGGGGGGGGGCGGGTCAGACATTTGTGACGATGGTGGGGGGGGGGGGGGAGAAATGTGACGTCACCTCAAAATGCGCAAATTTAAATAAATATAGAATTATTATAACAACACTAATTGTTATAACAACACTCCTACAACATCAGAGTGCAGCGCCACATTGAATACGCACTACAATGACAATAGTTTAAAGCGATTTGAAGCATGTTTTATTTTCAAAATGGAAATATGCTTTGGGGGGGGGGGGGCGAGCAGAGCTTTGTGTCGTCATATTTGAGGGGGGGTCTGACTTTTTGTGACGCCGTGTGACGAGGGGTGGGGTGGGGGGGGTCAAAAATCGTCCAAAATCGCGTGACGTCATTTATGGACGTCACCCCCCGGCTCCTGCTGCACGCGCACGGAGTCAGCCGGCCACGTGCTCGCTTCGCGGCCCATTTATCGAGCGGATCAAACATCGCGCTAATTTGTATATCAAAGCCAAGGGTTTTTGTTTGTATCGTAGCAAAAATAAACTACAGACAGCTGCTGCTGCGTGACTCACACCCGACGCATAATGATAATTGACATTTCTAAAGTGGCGCATTTCATCCGTTGATCCCAGTGCGTCACCTTGCATGGGGAATAAGTAAACAATCATAACCTTACCAAGCTTCAAATCAAGATTTAATCACAGCCTGTAGGGTGAACGGCTAGAACTGGTGCGGTGTAAAGGCGAGTTTAAAGAGGCGAGTTTGCAAGACCGGCTTAAATATAGCTCGCTGTTCACCACGCGTGTGATACTCGATTGATACATTGTGATAACTGCACCGGGCGACGAGTGTGCACATTCAGGCCACTGCAGTGCTGTCACACTCGGGTTGAGCGGAGAGATTCACGCGAGCACTTCGCGTCTCTGCCACACAGCGGTGGCTAACACCGCTAAGCACCATATTCAAGTTTCAAGTTCACGTATGAGGTATAGTCCTGTGAGCCATTCGGCTCTTGAATCGGGTGCAACCGCAACAACCAAAAACATGAACAAGAAAACATCTTAAAGTGACTATGTGACTAAGTGCAAACAGAAAATCCAGGGGGAAAAAACAGCAAAAATTCCAGGAAAAAGCACCGTACACCAATGCTGTGTGCAAAAATCCCAGTGGGATGCAAGTCAAACAACAACAACAAGCACAAGACAACTTAGATTAAGGCCATCAGTCTAACTCCGTACTCTAACAAACAAACATGGCCAAACCAAAGAACGTTTCTAAATCACCAAAATAAAAGCCATAAGCAATGTAACAGTGATCATAGAAACTGACCGAAATTTCACAAAAAAACGACATAAACAACATGTACCACCAAACCCTGCAGCCATAGCTGGCTGCATGAGTCACTCCACAACAGCATCGCCTCTTGGCCTCCGTTCCATCACCTATAACCCTTCCAGAACTTCCTTCATCAAACGTCTCACCTCTCATCATCGCAATCAGTGTGTCCATTGGACCAACTTAGTCAGATCAATGACCGCATTTGTGAATGGGGGGATGAGGAGAGGGGGGGGGGCAGCCCCCACCACTGCACGCGAGGTCAGTGTCGTGTCGTCTGTGCGCGGCTCCTCTGGCAGGCGACACTCGAGCGCCGATGAGCGACGGTGCATCGCGGGCTCTCCACCGCAGTCGCAGGGCGTCCTGCAGGCCCCCAGGGCGTCCTCTGGGCCCCCAGGGCGTCCTCTGGGCCCCCAGGGCGTTCTCTGGGCCCCCAGGGCGTTCTCTGGGCCCCCAGGGCGTCCTCCGGACCCCCAGGGCTCGGAGGCCTCGGGTGCCGAGGGCCCCTCGGCAGCACCCCAGGAGGCGCTCCGGACGACCCCAGCTGAAGATCGCGCGCGGTTCCGCCAACCCCTGACGATGTTCCCAATGCACGCATCTGGGCTTTGCTGGATTGTTCTAAAGTTGCCTTGCTGTCCAAGCCACTTTAGATTCTAAGAGCATCGTTTTTGTTTGAATACATCGCTACCTGAATAATTTTGTACATTATTCGTGTCATCGTCATCATTATTCTGATCAAGACGTGGGCTTTCGCGACAAATACATTAATATAATCGTGGTTTTGGGTTAGATCGCGATCATCATCATTATTGTAATTATTGTTGTTGTGCCAGTGCAGCACCCTCCTAGAAATTAGTCTAGACTCTCATCGCCTCCCATCCCCCCTCGCCCCCACCCCTCCCCCTCACCCCCACCCCTCCCCCCTCACCCCCTCCCATCCCCCCTCACCCCCACCCCTCCCATCCCCTCTCACCCCCAACCCTCCCATCCTCAACCCACCCCCTCCCATCCCCCCTCACCCCCACCCCTCCCATCCTCAACCCCCACCCACTCCCATCTCATCTCCCACCCACGCCGCTCCTCATTAAGCGACGCGGGGATATTTGTTTTTGGCCCGGTCCCGCGGGAAGGGAAGGCGTGCGGCGTGGCCTACATCCCCTCCATCGCCTCCATCCCCTCCCGTGATGAGATTGGACTGGGGGTGGGGGTAGTTGGAAGTCGACGCCGGTCAGAGACTGCGAGCCCAGCGTGGCCCGCACCGCTCATCTTTATTACTCTGCTTCCATGTTCTTGTTGTTTTGATACACAGAGCCCGGTGCAATCATGTCACGGTGGCGAGATGTTAACTACCTCGCCTGGTATGCAGGAAGTCGTGGGTTCGATCACGACCCTGACGCCTGCTGTGTATTTGGAGTTTGCGTGTCTCTCTCTCTCTCCTCGTGGTCGCGTGAACTTTTCTCTGACTGCTATAAATTACCACGTGATCAGCCACTTAGTTGAGCTGTCATTTGTGGCCAAGTCGCTGTTGAAAAAGAGCTACACAGCTCAGTGGGGCCTTACCTGGTAAAATAAAAAAAATTGTTGAGTTTAGAATCGCGAGCCGCTGACAAACGCGCGGACTCGAACCCAGAAAATCAGCGGCGCGTGGGCCCTCACGAGCGTCGCCGACACGGCCATCGTGAACCCTCTCCGAGCCCGTTGCACAACGGCGGTCGTCACCGCATCATCATCGCGCGCTTTCGGATGCGCTTTTGCGACTCTCATGGAACGCCCTTTCTTTCCGATATTCGAAAGCCACTGGGAGCTAATGGCACTTTTAAATCAGCATCTAGATTGACGAACTCATTTGTTAAAAACAGTTTTTTTTTGTGTTTAGTTTGTTGTCATTCCCCCGTGCCTCCGATATTAGTACGGTTGGCTACGTACGGTGCGAAAGAAGTTCAACATACATACGTACCCACGTTCATCCACCTGTAATACAGAGTGGGATTCTGCCGAACCCGCCCTCGCCCTCCAACACCCCCACCCCCTCCCCCCCACGAGTCTTGGGGGGCCTCGTGTCACGGACACGGCGATCTAAAGGCAATCCCCAACCACAAGCCCCCGGCACAGCGATGACGCACGGGGGCTGTTCGATCGCTGAAGATGACATTGCGGGCTGCGTTCAGTGGGTCGCGGGGCGGGAAGCGGGGCGCTGGGAATTGGGAAGCGCTCTCGAGATGTTGAATTTGCGAGACCGAAGAAAGAAGTCGGGAAACTGTTAAAAGTCCCAGCGGAGATTTCTCGGGGTGCATTGGTGATTGGCCTGAAAACGTTGAGATTTTAAGTTTCAATTAAAAAATATATATTTAATAATACCTCTTGTCCATAACAGGTTTTTTTGGGTTAGATCGCGTGAATATATAAATGTGTTGTTAACCCCACCACCACCCGACATAGACAACTAGTAAGGTTTGTCACGTAAACAAAACAAATGCCAATTTGTTACTAGTACAGCACACCGGTGTGTTGGAGAGGAAACCCACAACATTTACAATTGGAGTACGACGTTTCGTCAGTAATTACAACTAGCATCGTCAGGCGACTGTGATTATTAAATATGTTAATGTTACAACATGGAAATTTTTTCCCCCACTATCAAAAAAGGTTAAATTTTGCCGCAGCTCACTTCGAGCTATGAATGCTCTGATACGTGTGGCAGTGTCCTTGTGCTGTTCGCCTTTCGGCGTCCTCTGGTTTGACACTGGTGAGGCTAGGCCCTAAACAAGGCTGTCTCTGGTGTAGACCAATCAGTTTCAAAGACAATGCCATCGATTATCAGAGCATGCTTTTTGTTTGTATGTGTCGTGGCAGGTTTGGCCACGATCGCCACGACTCGTAGCCGGCAGTACTGGCTCGGGCCAGTAGAGAGCAGAAGGGAGGCCGGACCTGCTCAAGAGTAATGATGATGAGGTGCAGTTGGCCCTCGGCATTCCCTGGGGGGAGCATCGGGACCAACGGTTGGGACCCCAGATCCCCGGAAGGGGGCTGGGGGGATGAGGTAATTCTCCAGGGCCTTCGAGAATATTCTGGAAGGGAGGCGTGGCCAGGGACGCAGTGAGCCGGGACCCGGTATATAAGGCAGGGCCCTGAACGGCTCAGCTCAGTATCGTCCGGCTGAAGACAGAAGACCGACCTGGGAGCCCTGAAGAGAGAAGAGCCCCCTGGGCAAAGCCGAACTCCTGGCTAGGGTGAGGCTTGAGCTGTACTAGTGAAGCTCCCAGCTTATAACCAGGGAAGACTTCAGACAAGACTCAAGCCCCGGTAGTGTAGGCACAGCGACAGCCAGAAGAGGCGAGCGAGCCGGCTACGTAGAGCATAGGGTGAAAGGGGCCGTTACCCTCTTGTATTGGAGCTTGTTGAGTTGTTAAATTGTTATAATAAACGTGTGGTCTCTAAGTGAAAGTTCCCTCCAGTGTATTACCCACTACACGTGCACCACAAGGACGTGTGGCTAATGCAGACAGGATTCCGCACAAAATGTTTGTATTTGGTGTTTGAACATCTTAACCCAACTGTTTTATTGCCAGCCAGGGTGAAGCCTATTTTAATGTGTTCATGTTGTTGTTAGTTTCAATGTTAGGCGAGTAACACTCGGTCTGTTGTGCTCTCCAGTTGCCTGGGTGAAGAGTCGTTGTCTACCTTGTTCCCAATCCTGGCCAGCTGGCTCAGAACAAGAGTTGTGGAGCGCATCGGCAGCGCGGAGGAGTTTACTGTGGACTCGTGACGTCTCCGGGATTGATTTGGTGGGCAGCCCTTTAATCAGTTGTGGCGGGTGTCTCTCTCTGGGTAAGTGTCGACGGACCAAAGAGAGACGGGTACAGCGGACACGTTTGCGATCTCGCCATTCGCTGGACAGAGTCCAAGACAAGAGGCACTCCTCCACACACCCTCCGCTCCAGTCAACCGAGGCTCACTCTGGAAGCCCCCCCCCCTCCCCCTGTTGTATACTAACCTTCTTCCAAAATTGAGATTAATAATATTTGATGATTTTTTTTATATATTATCTTTTTACTTGTTTTTTAATGATTGAAACACACCAAGCGCAGCAAACTGCAAAACACCAGGTGTTGTTAAGTAATGAACTGGAGGAGGGCTAGGATGGCAGAATTTGCAACCTTGCTTCAAGGAAAGATAAGGCCTGATGAACGGGCACATGTCACCCGTGCAGGCGGCAGAGACAGTGGGAGTGTCAGCCAGACATAGTTAAGGCAAAAAGCCCAACCATCCTGCATGGTTTTAAAGTAACGTCAAAATTCGAAATTCAACAACAGAGTAGGCTAAATTATCGATCCTCGCGCTCGCTCAAATTGGAGACCAGGCTGCGAGCTACATAAATGAACCGTTGCCCATTTGCTAATCCAATACTGAATGTTAATATTACTGAAGTCAAAACGAATTCTATGACCTCAGCACATGGGCAAATAATAGGGCAGTGTCGACTCAAAGGCAATGGAAGAAACAGAGGCGCCTTTGTCTAAATCACAACCACAGAAAGCCAGGAATCATCACTGATTGTGTGTTCAGGGATTCCGAGCTAGTTAGAACACGTGCACAGGGGGGGAGCTGATGTAAACAACCCTGCACGTCTGAACGTGAGGGGGCCTTTGACCTGAAAGTAAGAATAACACTCCCAGAGCAGAAGGTTGGATGACCACAGTGAGACGAGAATAAGAGTGGTGTATATCTCTCAAGGAGGCAGACCCAGCTGAACAACAAGGCTGCGGGGTCACCAGAAGTTCGCATTCGCCTAGTTAAGACAAAAAGCTCAATTATTCTGTATTGCTATTAAAGTAACGTTAAAGTCGGAATTTAACAACAGGGTAGGCTAAAGTTATCGATATTCACACCCACTCCAATTAAACCAGGCCACAAGTTACGCCTACTGAACCATCACCATTATTAAGTCAATATGAAATGTTATTTCCATACTTCAATACTTTCTATACAATTCGACCCGAAGCATATGACAATCAGAACCTTCCTAAGTCAAAATTGAATCGCACCCAGACAGGAGCGAATAGTCAATATAAGGTTGAAGAGGGAAGGAAATCAAGAGCACGGCGAACTGCAAACGTAAGCAAAAAGCCGGGAACAACACCAGCCCAGCAACAGCGAGTGGGGCTTCGACAGGCCATAAAGTAGAATAATAACTCCCGGGGTCAGGGGACACAAGAAGAAGCAGGCAGACAAAAACCAGAACTGACTCCAAGGTTCAACCGCCCTCACCTACTCAGGAGTGACGGAAATTAATGAGGCCTTGAATTAACGGCAGGCAACAACAACGGCGAGCAGAGATAGGGTGGGGCAAAGACTGCGGGCTATGAATGCAACTTCGTGTCAGTAAAGCCCTGACAAACAAGTTAAGTTAAAGACATCACAATACATAGTATCGCACATAACATCAATGTTAACTCTATTCACCATAAACTATATTCCGCTTATATAACCATCCAGGCACCAAGGAATACGAATTCCTAGGATCAAGAAACTTACCCCTTAACCTAAGATATCGGAAATAAATTTATAGTAATAAGTATATGCATGAAAGACAAAAGTAAAACTTATGGAAAAGCCAGGATAACGGGATGAATCACAACCAGGTCGAATATAATACATAATAAAAAAAAACGATGTTAAACCCAGGGTCGGAGAGAAAGGGAGATCCCGGCCGTCTTTGTATCCCCGCAGCGCGGGATAGGAGTGTGTGTACGCTCGGGGAAACACCTACACTTGGGTCGGGCACCACGATGGGAAACGACAGACCTTAGGTTACATACAGAATCATAACTGTGAAATAGTAAAGGGACAAATGTTAACTTAAAACTTTTTAACCATTTCTTTGTGCGCCGGGTCGGAGAGAGTGTTGCCCCTCCCTCCAGGTTCTGCAACACGAACAAAGACGCCTATGAGACGATTTGTAACGTCTGTGTTTTGGGTCATGAAGAAGGCCAGACAAGAGATAATATTGCACCCAGACAGAGAGACGACTTCGAGGCAATTTGTAACATCTGATTGTTTGCTCGTGGGTTTTATGGAGGGAGTGTGACAACGAATATACCGTCAGTGATGCACACAAGGACACACGGACATACGGACAGACACATGGACACACCTGCCTACGGACAGATCCTGACATAGCAAAAATCGAAAAGAAGCCCCGCCTTGTGGGCGGGATCCAGGGGGATTTTTCGGCATAAAGTAAAGGATCCTGAGCATTGGAACCAGTGCGACGGGAGGGTCCACTCAGAAGCTCGACCGGGAGGGTCGACTCAGGAACGAGTGCGACCAGAGCGGGTCCACTCAGGAGTGCGACCAGAGAGTCGACTCAGGAGCGAGGGCGACCAGCGGGTCGACCCAGGAGCGAGCTCGACCGGGAGGGTCGACTCAGGAGCGAGCTGCGACCAGCGGGTCGGCTCGACTCATCTTCAGCTCGTCAATCTCTGCTGCCGCCGGAGATCTCCGCTGCCGCCGGTGGTGAGCGTCGCGACTTGGCGACGATCCAGCGCTGCACGCTACGAGCGAGTTGTGGGCGCCACCTACCGACCGGGTTCCGAACTGCGACAGCGTATCAACAGCCATCCGAGCAATTCACCACGGTGACAGGGGAGCGCCTGATACGTATGACGCGCACCGCCCCCTCACCACACGACCACCAGGCGTCTGTTTGACATAAAGAATCGACTCCGAACACTGACTATTCAAGACAACTCTTACCACTCAAACACTCGAACCCATAAGTCATCCGTGGCTGGGAAGGCATCACAACGAGACCGAGTGGTGGCCATCCGTCGTATAAGAGTATTCTTAATTTTTATCTTTAATATTTAGTGGGCTGTACTCTTAATCGCATAAATTCCCAACAGATCCATCAATACGAACTGATTCTTGGCACCTCCTTCCGCCGAGCCACGCTCACGTGGGGAGTGGTGGCCCACCGGATCCTTATCAGGTGATCTGGTCCCCAATTAGTAAACTTGGTATAAGATAACGATCTTCGGAAAAGGAGCACCGTCGCAGGCCCTTACTCCGAGCCGTTCTGCTGTCAGATAACCTGCCGATGTATCTGTTGAGATTGGTGCCTTTAAGAATAGTAACTGTTTTGATTGTGTTTTTTTTTTCGCCGTATAATCTTTCAAGTATCCTTCAGTCATAATCGCCGCACGTACTCGCATCCTCTACAGAATATTCAACTGTCCCGTGACCCAAGGTGTTAACAACGTGATAAGGGTTGCGTATGATCAATAAGGAGTGCGGTACTGCGTGAACAATATTGAGTATAATCATTCATTAACGTTAAGGTTTTCTTAGCATAGTATTTGCATGTTTTAACGACTCTCTCTCTCACTAACAACCATCGCGTTATGCGGGATCCATGTGCAGTTGTCAAAGTGAAATCAGACAATCGTTGATGATACTGTATTGATGCCGTATTGACGTTCCGGGATTGAGAGTTCGCATACTATATCATAGTTAAGGTTGAATTAGTAATAAATTGATCAATACAGAAGTGGTTGTGTGATTCTTTCCTGAAATCTATGCATAAGATCTGCTTCTGCGTTGAGATTTGAACTTGGTGACCTTAATAAACACACTAATACATACTCGGTAAATGTTAAAGCGATAACGGGGTGAACCGGGGTCTGGTTATCATAACGACTTGCATTATCATAATTACACCCACTCGCATAATTAATACGATTACCTCTCGAATTGGCATAATTAAAATGTGCGTAATTACATAAATTAACATATTTCCGGATAATTACACATTTGGCCAAATTTCATTTAATTATTATTATTTCCACTGAATATTCATAACCCACATATACAACATAATAATTTCACCCACGCACGCATACAACATAACAATTTTCATACCCAACATATACAACACCCCCCCCAGTCAACCTGTCCTCAGTGGGAGGTCGCTCATGCTCCACCGCTGCCCCCCTTGCCTGGAAATCCCTTCCCGCAGCTGTCTATGCTTTCGACATCCCTGCTGCCCTCAATTCAAGTCCAGGTGTAAGACCTTCCTGTTATTCTCCTCTGCCTGTGATTGTCTGCCCCCCCCCCTCCCCCCACACTGTCTCTACCCTGCACAGCACATGAACTACGCGGCGCACAAACACCGGCTGCCGTCACTGCCCCCAGCGCATTGAGACGCGGCTGCGCGGTGGGGAACGCGCGCCCCGAGCAGGACGAGAGCTCCTCCTGCCGCGCCTCGCCGAGCGGTCACTGATGCCCGTGTAAAGTACGCGCTGTGCGTTGAACTTCTTTCGCGCCGTACGTTGCCGTCCATTTAGTAGGCACGCAAAAATCTGTCAGAACTTGACTCCTCCTTAACGCACCCCCACCCCCCACCTCGAATCTTATAGAACGACCGATATTTGATTCACGCAGAAACGATCAAGGATTAATATTATTCACGTGCTTAAGCAAACAGATAGTCCACCGCCGGACTATCTAACTCACTTGAAGGCCAATGTAGACAAATTATTATCGAGGCTTCACCCGCCCCCCCCCCGTTTCTTATGCGTACATTGTCAGTAGACCCCGCCCCCCCCATACGCAAGCTACGCATTTGTGTTAACCCCCCGCTCCCCCCTCCATGCGTACGCAATGGATGGCCCCAGATTGAAAGCTCATCTCCGGAGAACTGGGAAGGGCAACAAAAACTAAACACAAAACTCAGTTCTAGGGAGGTGAGCTTTCAATGTTGATTTAAAAGTGCATAGCGCCAGTGGCTTCCTCATCGCACCTCCGATTAGCACGCTTGGCTGCGTACGGTGCGAAAGAAGTCCAACGTACGTACTTACATAACGGAAGTAAGAGCGTTCCAGACGGCCGAAGAAGCGCATCTGAAAGGCGCACGATGCAGCGGTGACCACCGCCTTTGTTCGATGGTTAACCAAAATCCGCTGCTGCTGCTTCGAGGATGCAATTAGTGCGACCTCATAACCGGTCTATCCACTGACGGATGAGCCTCCCCCCCCCGCGCCCACGTGTTGAGTTTAACCCACACAAACCGCTCAGCGTCGGGAGTTACTTGAACATTTTTTGGAGCTCGTTAAAATCGGTGCCAGCGCGTCTATTTAAATGACAATGCCAAGTTGAACTCTTTCAATCCAATACGCCTCAATTCACTTGATCTGGTTGGCGATACCGATATAAATATACGCATTTCTTACTTTGACTGTGAGTTTATTTAAATGGCATAACGGCGGAAGCCGCTTACAACGATGTATTCTCGCCCGTGATTATGATCACGGCTGCGCCTTCTAACTGCGTCACGAGGGCATACGCACCACACGTGGTGGCTTCGGCTGCCTGCTGTGCCGTCTGGAAGCGTGTGCGTTTTTACGCTAAACCTCTCGCACCGTACGTAGCCATCCGCGCCAATCGGAGGTGTAAGTTAACGCGTGGCAATCAGTGCGTGCATCCGTTACTGACATCCCACTGGGAATTAATATGGGGATCCGCTCATCAATTCTGAAAACGGTTACCGGTTTAACCGGTTTACCGTTTCACAACCCGAATTCTACGTTCGGCGTCAACGGCGTCCAGGCTTGGAGCGCGACTCCTCGACGCGTCCACGAGGTGGCGACAGAACCCCGCGCGCTCCCCACCGCTCCCTGCCGGCCCCTCCCTCGCCACGAGGGGGCGACACGCGCACGCGCAGGCCGAGAACTGGGAGGCCCCGCCCCCTCGCGCCACCCACTACGCCCCCCCCCCCGCGAGCACCTCTCGCCCCACCCACTTCGCCCCCCCCCCCGCGCCCTCCCAGAGGTCGCAACCGGGTACCCGATACCCGTACCCTACCCGATACCCGGCTACCCGATACCCGTACCCTACCCGATACCCGGCTACCCGTTTGCGACCCTGGTGCGGCCGGGTACGGGTACGGGTAGACCGTGAGTCACTGATGAGTAACCACTTGTCACTCATTTCCCAACGTCTTGTCTCTTCTCACAATTCAAGTTCCTAGAATCAACCCATCCGCGCCTGCAACATGGCTTCATTCCAGAGGTCGCAATCGGGTACCCGATATCCGTACCCTACCCGTACCCGGTTGGGTACCCGGCCGGGTACGGGTAGGGTACGGGTAGGGTACGGTCGGGTACGGGTACGTGTACCCGTTTGCGATCCTGGTGCGGCCGGGTACGGGTACGGGTAAGGAATCAAAACCCGTTTGCGACCTCTGCGCCCCCCCCACAACACCACGCCCCCCGCTTCAAACAAACCCCCCATTCCGACTTGTTTAGTCTTGTTTGCTGTTGTGCCTTGCTGACCCGCCCCTACTGGACACCTGTAAAAGATAGCTGATCGGATTCCTCCAGTCTACATAGAGATCGTGATCCTGACCAGCAGCCACGATCTATCTCCACTGCTGGATGACGGAGGCTTTTACCCAAAACGCGTCTCATCTCTCACGGCCTCGCCGCGACAAAGCCATTCTACCCGGCCTCCCGCCGCGGGGGCGGACTCCATCGCCGTCAACCCACGTGGTGGAGGTCCTCTCAGGCCTCTTCCCTCCTTTGACTGCCACTCCATCCCAAGTCTCGACCACCGCCCATCAGCACCCTGTACCAGCGAGCCCACTCACTCTTCTCAACAGTTCCTACGTTCACGTGAAAGGGAACAAACGAATTCCCAGACGACTCTCGCTCCGATCGGCCTGGACACTAATTCCTCGTTTAACGCGGTAGATGCGTTCCTGAAAAGTGCCAGCGTTAGGCGAAAACGCGTCAAGCGAGGAATGACTGCGACTCAATCTCATTTGCACTCCGAAATCAGCCTGCAGCCATTCCACGGGGGGACTAAGAATTAAGGTGATGGGTACGTCGCCGCGTTCTGTATCATTCCGCTCAGCTCAAGAAAGTAGTTCGTTGTCAACTGCTCAAAAACCGCGTTGTAACGGGCGCATTCCGCGCAATGACGTGCGCGTTCCGCGTTGTAACGGGCGCATTCCGCGTTGTGCGAAAAGTGTCCCCTAATAAAACAAAAAAACAGAACCGCGAATTCACGTTAAGTGACGACTTACCCTACCTGCGTTTCATTTCCGCCAGGTTCGCGTCCACCACGGGTACACGGATCTCCGTTTGAATGGTAACTCGTGGTGGTGGTGGACGCACGTGGAACACGGTGCGGACTCGGCTCACCGCACTCGCCCCTCGTCGTCCGATGATCAGCGCAACATAATCACTGCCGGGAGTTGGAATCGAAGCAGCAACCCCAGTGTCAGAGGCCCATGTCGCCGACCCCTCACATGAACATCACTAGCCCCGCCCACTTCGTTTGTGACCCTTGGGCTACGCTCATCCTAAACCTTTAATAAAATGTTAAAATACTTTTTTAAAAACACGCTTTAATAAAATGTACTGTCCGAGCTGCCCCTTCCCCTGCCCCCTTCCCCCATCGCCCCTCCCCTCCTTCCACACCCCCCGCCCCTGGGCGTGGCTCCCCGAGGCTTTCCGTGACGTAAGGGACCACGTAGTGATTTAAAAGCAACGTCAGTTAAGCGTTGACAATTAGAGCCGTAAAAATATCATTTAAAATATTTTTATTTTATTTTTAATGATAGAATATAGTATTGTCATCAGTATGACATAGCTATACGAAGTTTGCAGTCGATAGCACATTGGGAAGTGTGTAAAAATTGAGTTACAAGATTTATTTTTTGAGGATACAACAGACGAAGTGAGTTAAATAAAAGCGTGTAATAATAATAAAAACAGCGCGCCTTCAGTCGCTTTCACCCTCTGATTTCTTCCTGATGACGATCGCTTGTGTTGCGGTCGAAACGTAGTTTTTTGTCGATTTTATTTTGTTAATTTGAACCTATCTATGTGACTTTACCGAAAGACCCAAAGAATATGAATTCCTGCAGTCACGAAAACTTTCAGTCAACACACACCCACTGCTGGTAGAACACACACATAGAGACGCCTTAGCCCAAGGGCAGAGCACGAAGCATCCCTCTCCATTAAGAGCCACGTCCACCATCATCACCAGCACCACCACCGCTCACGCATTGCCGCCTCACCTTGATCCCGCGCCGCGAGCCGGGACTCGAACCGGGGTCTGGTCAAGTCGGAAGCGACGCTCGTGGCCGTTCCTGTTCCGCTCCGTTCTGTAGCGACCTCCAGCGAGCAGCGAGCAGCGAGCACACCTGTGCATCGCTCACCTGGCTAGAGACGACAACCCACTTGAGCAGGGGTGATTGAACACCTGGGGAGGGATGATAGCACACCTGGGTAGGGATGATGGCACACCTGTGCATCGCTCACCTGGCTAGAGACGACAACCCACTTGAGCAGGGGTGATTGAACACCTGGGGAGGGATGATGGCACACCTGGGTAGGGATGATGGCACACCTGTGCATCGCTCACCTGGCTAGAGACGACAACCCACTTGAGCAGGGGTGATTGAACACCTGGGGAGGGATGATGACACACCTGTGCATGGCACACCTGGGCATAAATGATGGCGCATCTAGGTAGGGATGACGGCACACCTGGGTAGGGATGATGGCACACCTGTGTATCGCTCACCTGGTCAGAGACGATAACCCACTTGAGCATGGGTGATTGAACACCTGTGTAGGGATGACGGCACACCTGTGCATGGTACATCTGGCAGGGATGGCAAAATACCTGTGTAGGCACACCTGGGCACACCTGGGCACACCTGGGCACACCTGGGCACACCTGGGCACACCTGGGCACACCTGGGCACACCTCTCCAGGGGGGAGGGGGGGGGGCAGCTCGCCATCAAGGCTCGCGGTAGCCAGCAGCGCGCATGGGGTGACGGATTCTAAGCTCCGTGCGCTCGCACGATGACGCGCGTATGTGTGTGTGTGCAGGTCTACGTATTTGTGTGTTAATAAAGACAAATATCTTCTTGGTTCTTTCGGTAAAGTCACGTAGATAAAACATGTTTTATTTTTATTCTTTTATTACTTCCCTTCTACGTGACTTTACCGAAAGAACCAAGAAGATGAATCCCTGCAGTCACGAAAGCTTTAAATCGAAAGACAAATATCCCCCGTTTAGCCTTAACAGACTGTTGAGGCAAGTGCTGTTAGCGAGCACCTGTGAAGGCCGGAACGGTACACGAGGGGGTAGGTGGCCAGCACCACGCCGCACCGGGTAATCATTTGTGGCTGAGTTGACCTAGGGGAGGCCCAGAACCGGTTCACATAATCGTCATTGGTGTTGGCCGTGAGCGGGAATAGAACTCGAATGGCTGGGTTCGTAGCGCAAGGAAGCGCTAACCGCTACACCACCGCTCCCTGCTAACGCGCACACACACACACTGACACACACACACACCTGTACGTGCAAGGGTGTATGTATGTGTGTGTTTGTGTGCAGGGTAATGTGCCTGCGCACAGGTGTGTGTGTGTGCGTGAGCGCAGGTGTGTGTGTGCGCGCAGGTGTCCGTGTGTGTGCGTGCAGGTGTGCGTGTGTGTGAGTGTGTGTGTGTGCGCGTGTGTGTGCGTGCGTCGTGCGTGTCCGTGTGTGTGAGTGGCAGTGTAGAGGTCAGCGCGCCGCGCCACGGATCCCGACTACGAGGCGCGTTCGATTCCCGCTCACGGCCACCAACACCAGCGACGGCCCTGGGCCTTTTCTAGGTCGACTCAGCCTCAAATGAGTACCTGGTGCGGTGTGTATTGAACATCGCCACTAGAGAGACAACGGCGAGCGGGCGTGGTGCTGACCACCCACCCCCTCGTGTGTCGTGCTGGCCTTCATAGGTGCTCGCTAACAGCACTTGCCTCTGCTACCTGTTAAAGGCTATACGGGGAATCTTTGCCTTGTAGGTGTACGTGTGCGCGCCGATAACATAAACATCACACTCGCGGCGTGGAGCGGTGGGACAGTGGTGAGCGCGCTGCGCTGTGAACTTAGCCAACCGAGTTCGATTCCCGGCATCGGCAAGTGAGATCAGAACCGGGTCCTGCTCCCCCCCCCTCCCTTCCTTACAAACCCCCACTGATCATCGTGTGGTGAAGTATGGTCAAAATACCCCCTAGACCAACACGGCGTGGGGGAGGCCTTGTCATTGGTCGCGGGGACTGCTTGATCATACTTCAGCACGCCGGTGAGCGCGGGATGGCGACGTGGTGGGAGCATCGGGGAAGTTCCAGTGAAGTTTCCAAGCTCAGTGCGCTAACCACTGCACCACCGCTCTGTGCGCGGCCCTCCGCTAACACCGCGGACGCCGCGATGGAAGCAGCACGACCACCGGCGAATCCTTCTGCGCGTTTCCTTCAGTTTATTTACGAGCTTGTGGTGGTGGTGATGTCGGGTTTGTTGTTGTTGTTTATTCCGTTATAGAGACTCGCTACGACCGCGTAACGAGGGCGCGAGTCTTGGCCGCGTGGCATCATTGCACCCCTCCCCTCTCCCCCCACACACATATAAACACGTTTTAACTACATATAGAACACTTTGCGAGTGTGCGAGCCGTCACGTTCTGTGGAGATCGCGGTGGCGCTCGGAACCTCGCGCAACGAAGTCGCCGTGCAGAGTGCGCCGCGGGATCGATTCTTAGATTCTTAGATTTTATTTAAAAAAAAGTGAATTCGATAAACGCGGTCTCTTTGCGTGGGTGCCCCCAAAGGTGCAAAAATCATCATTTTTATAATAATGATAGGCGACGTTTCGGGCAATGCTCCTGCTTCATAGTAGAGACATGATGCGATGGGATGCTCACCGCTTCGCGACGATGAACGGCTGTGTCCCGACACCGCCGCCAATTACACACACATCCATATGTATAGATTATATATTATATATACACACCTGTAATGGCTACAGTGCTATTCATAATCAAAGCCTACGTGTTAAACCTACAGTGCTATTGTTGCCATGTGCGGAGTTTTAGTTCAAGAGGACGAAGCCGAATTTCGATTTAAAGCTTTCGTGACTGCAGGGATTCATCTTCTTGGTTCTTTCGGTAAATTCACGTAGAAGGGAAATAATAAATAAAATAATAAAATAAAACATAATAAAATAATTCTCACGACGTTTCGGCCACAACGCAAGCGGCCGTCCTCAGGTGAAGAACAGGTCTGTCGAGGCGACATTCAGACGCTATCGCCTCGACAGACCTGGTTTCACCTGAGGACGGCCGCTTGCGTTGTGGCCGAAACGTCGTGAGAATTATTTTATTATGTTTTATTTTTATTATTATATTACTTCCCTTCTACGTGACTTTACCGAAAGAACCAAGAAGAGGACGAAGCCGCTCTGAGTGCGCGCTCGGGGCGAGCCGGGAACACGCGAACTCGGTTCGCTTCGGAGACGCGACCCGCCACGGTTTCGAACCCCTCCGCGCCTGGCAGCGCAACGCCCGGTCCCAGATCTCCGCCGCGTGAGAGCCGGGCTCGGGCAGCCCCGGGCGCATCGTCGCGCGCGGGTGGGGACGCGCTTTAATAACGCGCGGTTATAACGCGCCGCTATAACGCGGCACTCATAACGCGCTTGGATGACGCCCGGTTATAACGCGGCGTTATAACGTGCCGCTACAACGCGCTGTTACTTCGCGCTGTGACTGCGATGCGCTAGAACGACGATGACTGCGCGAGCCGTACGATTATGGCAGGGAACTATTGCTATTATTATTCGTCACGTGTTCATAATTAGACTCTTTCGAATGATGAGAAACACACACATATATATAGTACGAATTGCAGTGTGTGTGTGTGTGAGTGTGGTGGCGGAGCGCTGGCGTGGGGCTTCAGTGCTTAGCGCGCTGCGTTACGCAACTCCGGCCGGCAGAGTTCGATTCCCGACCACGGCTACGCACTCGTGGCGAGTGATATCCGGACTTGTGCTCCCTCCCCTCCCCGGCCACCCCTTCACCAATCCGCACTTGCCCGCGTAGGGAAGTATGGTCAAACAGCCTCCCGTGATCGACACCGTTTGGGGAGGCCTTTATCCAGCAGTGAACTGACAATCGGCGCTGTACTTTATTCCAATAATTGTCATTCCCATTCAGACGACGAGACTGTTGCGTGAAGACTTCCCAACACCGCCAACAACAGCGCCGTCTGTCTCGCCGCTGCGCTGCGCGGTGTGCGTGCGAGCGCCGCCGCTCCAGGCCCACCTCGCTGGCCTCGTGTTCACCGCTGACGCGGCCGGGAGGCCCAACTCGGCCCGGCGGCGTTCGTAGCGCCAGCCCCGTTGTGCTGGTTGTGGCTGTGATGACGACGATGGTGGTGGTGATTAGCCGCTGAACGCCATTAAATGTTGTTGATTGTAATTAAACTCACGTGAACCATCGGGCCGCGCGCGCGCGCGCACGTGAGCGCCAACGGAGCGGACACGTGGGCCGTAGACGTCACAACAAATGTACAGATTTATTAAAATATATACACGGTGAGAACGACGCAAACGTTCCGACAGCGATACAGGAAGGACTCAGAGCACCGATGGTTTCACCTGTGCACGAGGGGAGGGCAGGTGCGATGTGGGGGTGGGGTGTGTGAGGGAGGTGTGTGGGGGGAGGGTGTGTGGGGGGGGGGGATGGTGTGAGGTGTTGGGTTCAGATGTGAGAGCGAGGTGTGAAGCCCTCAGACGCGTGGACTGTACGAGATAAAATTTATTTTATTGTTCAATGTCTTGTGGCTTCCCGGATTTAGCGACGACGCAATTGAAAGAAGCTGTTACGGGGTAGCGAAGTGTTTAAAAATACTCGAGGACACCCATCACTCGCGCGGCACACGACTCTCACTAAAACACGCGATCTTCCTCCTCCATCCTCATCGCTCCACTCGCCTTGGCAGGGAAATTCAAGCGGTGATTTCAAGAGTACGGCGCGCACACACATATACTGTGGTCTCCACGAGTCAAAATCCTTCTCCAGAGAGGTCGATAGAACTCAATTCAACTCAACCGGTCGCTCGCAACAACAGAGGTAACTTCCAAGCCACGTGGGCAACGCGTATAATCTTCGTTATTATCTGTACACACGTCACAGTAAATGTACACACTCCGCTTGGAGAACCGACACGATACATTACATTCATTCCCCGCTCCTTCGACTCGTAATATAAGTTACCTAAGGGAGGGCAGGGAGGGATTAGGATTATGACTGTCATTTAACAAACAAGCAATTCACAGTTCACCAGAGTCTGTGCGCAGGAGTACATCACGGCATGAGTGCACGAATCGACGGCACGAAGAAGCAACGGACAGGCACCCGGGGAGTGGGGAAACGGGAAGGGGTCGGGTGACGAACGACTGAACAATCAATCGGATGAGCGAATGAATGACCGTCGTTCCGTCACTCCTGTCCGTGAACGAACAGCCCCAGGTACTCTCCCTCCGCCTTCACCTTGGCACGGAACGCGTCGTGGTGCGGGTACATGGACCCGCCGTGGCCCAGGACATCCGCGGAGGCGGCCGCGCAGTCCGACGAGAGGCGCCGCCGCTTCGCTGCCCCCATCCCCCCGGCGACCCCCGCCTCGTAGTCGGCGGGGGTTGCCATGCGGTAGGCGGCGGGGGTCTCGCTCCAACTCGAGTCAGACGGCGCCTCCACGCCCGAGCTGTCGCCGCCGCCGCCGCCGCCGCCGCGCTGCTCGGGCGTCCGGTTCAACTCCCCGTCCCGCGGCGGCGCCCCGGAGCCGTGGAGGCCGGACAGCGAAACGTCGGCGTCGTTGGTCACCGCGGCGGAGGCGGCGCTCGAGGCGGATCCGTCGCGCAAGTCGGCGGCGTCCAGAGCGCCGGCGGCGGCGCCGTACGACGGATAGGGGGACAGCGAGTTCCAGCCGTTGCTGGGGAAGGCGGCCTCGGAGTAGTAGGTGAGGGCGTGAGCGCTCGCTTGGAACGGCAGCGGCTTCATGTTCACGCCGTAGGGGTAGGGGGCCAGCTCGCGGTCGTAGGCGGGGGACACGAACCAGCGTTGGGACGCGGCAGCGGCCGCGGCTGCTGCGGCCGCGGCGGCGCTCGAGCCGGGGTCGTCCGCCTGCGGGAAGAGGCCCAGGGACTGCGGCACGGCGCGCTCGCCCCCGTCCACGCCGTAGCGCGCCTTGGCGATGGCCGAGCCCAGGGACGGGGGCAGTAGGTACTGCCCCGGCGCCACGCAGCGAGCCCCCGGGACGATCTGCGTGGAGGGTGGCGAGTTGGTGGGAGAGGGGCTCTGGCCCTCGGCCTCCATGCCCGTGTAGATGCTGCGCGCACACGCGGACAGGACACGCGGCGTGGTGTCAGCGGGCGCCTCTTGGGACCGGCGCGACGCGCACGCGGTTCGTGCAGATTTCGTACTTTACGCGCCGCGATAGGAGCTCGTTTTAGACCCGGGCAGACCTGCGGGAGGAGCCGCAGGGAAAGTTCTGATACGTCGTGTGTGTTATGTATCTACGTAGGGTGTGTATGTATCTACGTCTTGTGTTATGTATCTAAGTCTTGTGTTATCTAAGTATTGTGTTATGTATCTACGTCTTGTGTTATGTATCTAAGTCTTGTGTTATCTACGTCTTGTGTTATGTATCTAAGTCTTGTGTTATGTATCTAAGTCTTGTTTTATCTAAGTCTTGTGTTATGTATCTACGTCTTGTGTTATGTATCTAAGTCTTGTGTTATCTAAGTATTGTGTTATGTATCTACGTCTTGTGTTATGTATCTAAGTCTTGTGTTATCTACGTCTTGTGTTATGTATCTAAGTCTTGTGTTATGTATCTAAGTCTTGTTTTATCTAAGTCTTGTGTTATCTACGTCTTGTGTTATGTATCTAAGTCTTGTGTTATGTATCTAACAGTGGCGGCTCGTCAATAGAGGGCGCAGGGGCGCCGCCCCCATCAATATTCAAGAAATATAGATATACAAAATTTATATAAAAATACATAAATAAAATATTTTTTTCATACGATGTGCCGGCTGGTAGTAAGAAAAGCATCAGCATTTAATAAAAACTGGCTTTAATCGGTCAACTATTTTCTATGTTTTTCAATGTGTTTCATGCGGGGCGCCGGACAAATGGATGTCTATGTGAGACTTAAAATTTTCGGACAGCATGTGACCTGAAGCTGGTCTCTAATTGGTTTCTTGAAGATTCTCCTCGGGGCGCAAGTCGTTGCGTCCCTGGCCAATCAGAATTGGATACATGTTATTTTATCCAATCTGATTGGTTCTCGTCACCTGTCATTCAAATTTACGCTCTGGGCCACAACTGCGAGTGCGCCGGCGAAACCACTTTGACACTTGCTAGGCTAATCAAATTTTTTGTGTAAACAATGGCAGCAGTTCATCCAAATTCTGTAATTTATTTACAAAAAAATCCTTTCACAAGGCTTTCGCTGGAAGAAATAAAAAAGATAAAGGATCTCGGACCGGACCAACCCGATTTACAAATCCAGCAGCAGGCCAGTGACAGAGGACGAAGCTACACACGAAGCTTCACCCGCGCTTGTTATGAGAAACGGAGGTGGGTGGCTGGATGTGATGTTAGCAATTCTCTTTTTTGTTTTCCCTGTCTTTTATTTCAAAGTGTCGGCACTGAAGTTTTGTGGACAACGACGGGGGTAAGAGACCTCAAACATCTCTCTGACAAATGCAAACGTCATGAAAGTAGCCGCAGCCATATTGATAATAGCATGAAACTAACGTTTTTATGTTCAAGTAGGAAACATGCTTTTTGGTACTTTGGTCTGAAATGTATATAAAAGAGAAACATTTATGTTCAAGTAGGAAACATGCTTTTTGGTACTTCTTTTGGTCTGAAATGTAAATAAAGATCATCAAAATTTATATTCAAGTAGTCAAAATGGTTTTTGGTACTGCTTTATATTTATTTGCCCCCCTCAATAAAATAAAAAAATGCGCCCCCCCAAAAATAAATATCACCAGCCGCCACTGGTATCTAAGTCTTGTTTTATCTAAGTCGTGTTATGTATCTACGTCGTGTGTGTGTTATGTATCTACGTAGGGTGTTATGTATCTACGTAGTGTGTTACGTAACTATGTCTTGTGTTATGTATCTACGTAGTGTGTTATGTATCTACGTAGTGTGTTACGTAACTATGTCTTGTGTTATGTATCTACGTAGTGCGTTATGTAACAACGAAGTGTGTTACTTAACTACGTCGTGTGTTATGTATCTACGTCGTGTGTTATGTATCTACGTAGTGTGTTATGTATCTACGTAGTGTGTTATGTATATACAGTGTGGTATGTATCTACCTAGTGTGGTATGTATCTACATAGTGTGTTATGTATCTACGTAGTGTGTATGCTATGTATCTATGTAGTGTGTTATGTATCTACGTCTTGTGTTGTGTATCTACGTCGTGTGTTATGTATCTACGTTGTATGTTATGTATCTACGTTGTGTGTTATGTATCTACGTAGTGTGTTATGTATCTACGTTGTGTGTTATGTATCTACGTAGTGTGTTATGTATCTACGTTGTATGTTATGTATCCACGTAGTGTGTTATGTATCTACGTAGTGTGTTATGTATCTACGTTGTATGTTATGTATCCACGTAGTGTGTTATGTATCTACGTAGTGTGTTATGTATCTACGTTGTATGTTATGTATCCACGTTGTGTGTTATGTATCCACGTTGTGTGTTATGTATCTACGTTGTGTGTTATGTATCTACGTTGTGTTATGTATCCACGTTGTGTGTTATGTATCTACGTTGTGTGTTATGTATCTACGTTGTGTGTTATGTATCTACGTTGTGTGTTATGTATCTACGTAGTGAACCGTGCTTATCGGAGGTGCGGGGGAAGGACAAACAAAGAAACACAAAAAGCAGTTCGAAAGAAACGAGTTTTCAAGTCAGATGTAAAAGTGCGTAGCGCCAGTGGTTTCCTCATATCGGCAGCGAGCGCGTTCCAGACGGCCGCAGAAGCGCATTTGAAAGCGCGCCATGCAGTGGCTGTCTTTTGTTCGATGGTTAGAAACCACTTGCCACTGATGTTAGCCGTGCCTCGGATTCAAACCCAGGCGACCATGGTTAGAAACCACTTGCCACTGATGTTAGCCGTGCCTCGGATTCAAACCCAGGCGACCATGGTTCGTAGCGCAGTGCGCAAACCACTCCGCTATTACTCTTCACGACATGGATGTGCACACACAACAATTACACACAACACTCACACACAAACACAACAATCAAACACAACTGTCACACAAGCACACGTTTACACAACAACCACAAGTAAACACAAAGCTCCCCCTTATAGCCTTAACAGACTGTTGGGGCAAGTGCTGTGAGTGAACGTGTGTGTCCAGCACCACGCCCGAAGCACGCTCTCACAGAGACAAACACAGAGAAGACACAAACAACAACAAGCACACACAACGACAACAAAAACAACAACAACAACAACAACGATATCAACACACAAACGCACGTAAACACAACAACCGCCAGTCGCCACTAAGTGGTGACGATGTCACCACGGCGCTCGTGCCAGGCTAGGTGCACTTTGAGGCCACGTGAACAACAACACACACACAAGTCCCCACGTGTAAGCCGTGCCCGTGGATGGTACAAACGCGCGCACGTCGGTAGGCGATGTTGGGCAACCTTCGACTCCGACAACAATCACAGCAGCAGCAGCAGCAGCTGCCTCCGTGCGTCCCTCCCCGTGAGAAGCACGCGCAGGCACGACTCTCTCTCGCCTCGGTGGCGAATGCTCTCCACCCAACAGATGTCGCGACACTCACGACGACGCCACGCGAGCCGTAGACGCCGGTCGCTCGCTACTCTCGTTACGAACACGCACGGGGCAAGTTTCGCCCAGTGGGTGGTCGCTCGCTCGCTCTATTCTGCTGCTCCCAATGTCCAGAACTCTCTCACAACCCATCGAAATGCAGTCGCGTTTTAGACGCGACGATTGTATCGTGAACATACGGAAGGCGACGAGCATTGTTCCGACTGATAATTATCAAAGTAAAACGGACTTGGGCAGCACACGCCGCGAGAAGGGATGGCGATGTCTGTCGGTGGTCCAAAGGAAGTGACGGGGGCAGTGGCAGCCAAGGGAGGGATCAGGGCTCGAGGTGACATCGGCTCGCGTGCAGGGCACTGCGTGGATTGTTGCAGGGCACTGCGTGGATTGTTGCAGGGCACTGCGTGGATTGTTGCAGGGCACTGCGTGGATTGTTGCAGGGCACTGCGTGGATTGTTGCAGCGCAGGATCGCGAGAGACGGCTCGGGAGAGAGGCCTTCATCCAGCGGCGGATGAGATGACGATGATGGTGATGATGGTGATGGTGATGATGGTGGTGATGATGATGGTGGTGATGATGATGATGGTCGGGGCAAGCATGCCACGTGAGATGTCACTGTTACCAAACAAACGCCGCGAAGTGTCCGAAAGCCGAGTGAGTGGCAGGCATAATCTGTACCACTCCGAGACGCACGTGGGTGCCGCGCGCGGCGCCCACGTGCGTCGTCGTGCGCTGTTACTTACGCGTCGTAATTGTCGCGGAAGCCCTTGGCGAATGGGTTGTGGTCGATCTTGAGCTGCGTTATCTGTGGACGAGAAGCAGCGGGCTGAGCCCCGGGGCTTTAGCGCGGCGCTCGACGCCGAGCTTCCATCCCCCCCACCACCACCACCACAACCACCACCACGCCACCTGCCCAGGCTCGCCTCCACACCTACCTACGCCACCGCCGAGGACGATTTCGAGACTATCGGGTTTTTTTATTTTACGAGGCGAGGCCCAAATGAGCTACTTAATTTTTGTTTTCAGATGCGACTTGGCGATCACACAAACTCTAGCCCAATGTGTGAATGTCTACAATGCGTGGCTATTACACTGCCACCCCAGTCGACCCACTGCTGGATGATCAGACACGAGGATAACGACCTCGCGACCAACAGGTCAGCGCGACAATTGTTGCGTGACCCTGCTCAGAGTTGGGGGGGGGGGGGGTCTCAATCGCCTCCACTCCAAACCCTGCCGTGCGCTACGGGGCGGACCGGCCTTCATGCATGCTTGCCACGACAGTCTGTTTGCAGGCTATACGGGGGGTCTTTGTCTTTGGTGGCCGTGCTGGTGATGGAGGTAGTGGCGGTGGTTATGAAGGTGGTGGTGACGGTTGTGGTGGTGGTCGTAGCGGCGGTGGAAGTTTACCGTGGTGGTGGTGATGATTGTAATAGTGGTGATGGTTGTGGTGATAGTGGTGATGGTTGTGGTGATAGTGGTGATGGTTGTGGTGATAGTGGTGATGGTTGTGGTGATAGTGGTGATGGTTGTGATGATTGTGATGATTGTGATGGTGGAGATGGTGATGGTTGTGGTGATAGTGGTGATGGTTGTGGTGATAGTGGTGATGGTTGTGGTGATAGTTGTGGCGGTGGTGGTGGTGTTGATGGTTGTTGTTGGTGGTGGCGGTGCTCACGTCGGTGTTCTGGTAGGCGGTCACGGCGATGAACTGCGTCTCGGGGAAGGTGAACGAGTGTGTGCGGCTCTGCTCGGAGCCCTCCGGAAGGGCCGCCGCCTCTCCCGCGCGGGACACGAGCAGGCGGGGCTGGTACTTGTGCAGCGACTGCAGCACGATCATCTGCCAACACAACGTCGTCATCATCATCATCATCGTCACAATTATCGTCAACATCAAACATCGCCATCACCGTCATCATCATCATCGTCACAATCATCGTCAACATCAAACATCGCCATCACCGTCATCATCATCATCGTCACAATCATCGTCAACATCAATCATCGCCGCCACGAGAAGTCACACCTGATCCACACATATTCGTGTTTCAGTCTCTACCATTACCATCGTCATCATCCACGCTCAACGAAATGTCATTAGCCTGAATCACTATCGTAGATATTATCCACACTCAACGAGAGATCGACGTTTATAGTCATGCAAACATCGCCATCACCGTCATCATCACCATCACCAACACAAGGCATGGGTTCACAGGGCCGGCATCAGCAGTACTCAGATCTGCGTTATATTCATCATCATCACCATCATCATCACCATCACCACCACGTGTATCATTGTACACAGCTCATTCTGCACGCGTAACAGTGCAGTTCCGACTCTCGTTTCTTTCCGTACGATTTACAGTGAAATGACAAACGCCTAACAGGTCACCAATATCCACCCACTCCACACAAACTCACGAAGAACAAAATCGCGCCTTCATCCTCGACAGCCTCCTCGAGCCGCGATGCTCCGACGGTCCGTTGCTTGAAACGTCAGCCTATCAGTGTGCGTCTGTGTACATGAATATACGTCTCCGCGATAAGGCAGCGGTTAATCGTGAATGTGGCGAGTTCTGGTTGTCGTCGTCACTGCTCTAAGCGCTGGATATAAGAAGAAGTTCCTTTGCATTGTCTGAGCCTCAAGTCGCCGTGCACAGGGGCCGTGGTCACTGATGCGCACCACGGCCGCCTGGCCACCCACGGCTGGACCCAGCTGAGTCCCTCCCCATGGCCGTGAAGGTCACGGAGGTCGTGGACCGCCGCCTCTCAGCACGCTGCTTAGGTGCAGGAACCACCGGATCGGATATCGCTCGCCTCTGGTTGTTGGCCGTGGCTCGGAATCGAACTCAGGTGGCCGCGTTCACAGCCACACTCAAAGGGAAGTCCAAGCACACTTGACTACATCTCCAAGCACACTCGACTACAACCACACTCGACTACAGCGTCACACTTAATTCACGACGGCCGCCGTACCTGCCCGCTGTTCGTGCTTCCCTTGTTGTTGGTGATCTTCAGTTTGCCGAAGGTGATTTCCTGGCGCATCCAGTGCGCGCCCGTGTTCGGGGAGTCCGGGTGCACGTACGTCTTGTTACCTGCGGCAAATCGCAACGGGAAATCGCAACGGGATCGCATCATTCCGCGAGCGCTCAGAATCGTGCGCTCACCGCTCCTGGTGATTTGTTGCGACCCGGATGAGTTCAACGCCAATGCGAGAGGCGCGGATTTCATTTGCGTCGTTCGGGCTCAGTGCGATCCAGCAGAGCCCCGGGCTTTTCTGCATTCCGCTCCGTCTCTGCGCGTGTGTCCCTCATCTCTGTCCACCTCACTCCCAACGCGTCGTCTCCATCTCTCCCGTGAGTCCCCGCGTGCTAAGCCTTGTCTTCGCTTCTCCGTGTCTTAGTCCGCGTGTGTGTGTCCCACCCCCCCACCCCGTGCCCCTGGCTCTCAGCGCCACGGGCGACTCGTCCCCATCTTTACTCTCCACGACCTCCTTGCGTCGTCGCCCAATACCGAAACGAAGGAACGCGCCCACTTCACTCACACGGTGGCCAGCAGCCGCACCGTAGCACGCAACGACGTCCCGACTAACTCGAACAATTAGTAATCATCTTCCGTGATTACAATCGCGCTTTAATGTCATTAGAGCCGCAGGTATTAAGTTGTAGACGTCGACCCCTGAGAGATCGACCGCGCACACACACACACGCGCACACACGCGCACAGACACACGCACTCACACTTACACACGCACGCACACTCACATCCCACACACGCACTCACACGCACACTCACACACGCACTCACACACGCACGCACACTCGCACAGACACACACGCACACATGCACACACGCACGCACACTCACACGCACACATTCGCACAGACACACACACGCGCACGCACACTCACACACACACACTCGCACACACGCTCACACTCACACAGAGGCGCGCGTTGCGATCGCCACCCGACTTGCTGTGACTGCAGCACGTGGAGTCGACGCTCGTTGTGGTTGTTTGTTCCTCTGTGGTCGTTGCATGCTCTTGTTGCAGTTGTTGTTGTTGTTATTGTTGTTGTGGTAATGTTGCTGTAACCGTTGTGGCTGTTGCCGTTATTTTGTTTGGACTGAGGTTGCCGTAAGAATGCATTGTTGTTGTTGTTGTGTGTCGTGTTGTGTGTCGTGTTGTGTGTCGTGTTGTGTGTCGTGTTGTGTGTCGTGTTGTGTGTCGTGTTGTGTGTCGTGTTGTGTGTCGTGTTGTGTGTCGTGTTGTGTGTCGTGTTGTGTGTCGTGTTGTGTGTCGTGTTGTGTGTCGTGTTGTGTGTCGTGTTGTGTGTCGTGTTGTGTGTCGTGTTGTGTGTCGTGTTGTGTGTCGTGTTGTGTGTCGTGTTGTGTGTCGTGTTGTGTGTCGTGTTGTGTGTCGTGTTGTGTGTCGTGTTGTGTGTCGTGTTGTGTGTCGTGTTGTGTGTCGTGTTGTGTGTCGTGTTGTGTGTCGTGTTGTGTGTCGTGTTGTGTGTCGTGTTGTGTGTCGTGTTGTGTGTCGTGTTGTGTGTCGTGTTGTGTGTCGTGTTGTGTGTCGTGTTGTGTGTCGTGTTGTGTGTCGTGTTGTGTGTCGTGTTGTGTGTCGTGTTGTGTGTCGTGTTGTGTGTCGTGTTGTGTGTCGTGTTGTGTGTCGTGTTGTGTGTCGTGTTGTGTGTCGTGTTGTGTGTCGTGTTGTGTGTCGTGTTGTGTGTCGTGTTGTGTGTCGTGTTGTGTGTCGTGTTGTGTGTCGTGTGTGAGTTGTAGTTGTCGTGGCTTTGCGATTGATGTGGTTGTGCTTGGTTGTTATTGTTGTGCTTGGTTGTTATTGTTGTGCTTGGTTGTTATTGTTGTGCTTGGTTGTTATTGTTGTGCTTGGTTGTTATTGTTGTGCTTGGTTGTTATTGTTGTGCTTGGTGTAGGTGGTTGCAGGTGAGTGCTGGCGGTAGGGCCCTCCATCACCAAACGTCCCATGTCTAGCGTGTTGTTCTCCCCTCGTACCTCCGATGAGCACGGTTGACTACGTACGGTGCGAAAGAAGTTCAACATACACACGTACATTGCCCCCCCCCCCCCAGGTTCACTCTCTTTCGCGGTCTATCGCTGTTAATGTGGCCCCCACAAGACGCCTCCACTGCCCCCCAATCCTAGCGGATCTGTAGCCGAGGTGTCTGTGTTGTAATTTGTTGTAACATTCGTCGTTGTTGTCGTTCTAATTTTTGTTGTTGTTGTTGTCGCGGCGGGCTCACCGTGCATGTTGGAGTCCGCCTTGCCGCACGGGACCCACTTGCCTCCCTGGAAGCGCCAGTGGTTCGTGTCGGCCAGCACGATGTCCACAGACACCGTGTAGTGCGTGGCCGGGTCCAGCCCGCACACGCTGAACGCCAGGTACGGGAACATCCTCCTGGACAACGACAAAGGTCCCCCGGGTAGCCTCTCAATGGACTGCCGCTGGGGCCAAGGGGTGCTGGGGAGTTCCGACGAAGCGCGGCGCGCGAGAGGTTGCCGTGTGGCTAACACAACCCACGGCCGCCTTTATTTTTCCCCAGTGCCGATGTTTTTTTTAATACACCCCCCCACGAGCTACTAATTTAAGGTTGAGTCGACATAGAGGAGGCCCACGAGCAGCACAGATTAGGAATCGAACTCAATCCGCCGGGTTCGTAGCGCAACGCGCTGACCTCCACGCCACAGCGCAGCCACAGGCGGGAGTCCAACCCGAGCCACGCTCGCTCTGGACTCACCCCCCCTCCCACCCGCCCAGGACTGGCGAGGTCGCTAGCAACCAGAGTCGCGCCAGAGTCGCGTGGGGAGTGCCGCAATTAGTGCACGGGGTGGCGCGGTGGCGCAGAGGCTTGCACGCTGCGCTTTGGACTCGGCGATCCGACTTGGACTCGCGGCTCACATCAGTAGCGAGCGACACCTGAACCGGACCCGAGTGCGTCTCCCCCTCCGCTCCCTCGCCCCATCAACCCGCATTGACCAGCGTGGTGAAGCGTGGTCAGATAACCCCCCTCCCCCCCATGACCGAAACAACCCGAGTGGCGTGCGGAGGTTATCATCCAGCAGTGGATTTGCAAAGGGCTGTATTTTGTTTTAAGTCGCTAGCGACTGTCCATTCGCATTTGAACTCGAAGCCTGAAATTCATCTCAGGCAACGCGTGAGTGCGGCGAAGCGCTACTTAGCCCTGGAACCGATTCGTGCTTTTCGCGGTCGCGCTTTTTAGTTTTGCACGAAGGCACCTCCACAAGTGTACTCGATCGTTTCTTGTTAAGAAATTAACCTTCTCCATCTCACATCCAACTGCGACTGCAAGGAACGTGCGCCAAGCAAATAGCTCAACGTCCTTCATTCATAGGGGCGAGATCCGCGCGGAATGGGCTCGCCTGCGAGGTCGTAACGGGCTCGCGCGGCTGCGCAGTGCGCGGTCAAAATGCGCTGCGCCGTGAACTTTGGGCACACCCGAGTTCGAGTCGCAACAAGTAGCAGCAATCCACATCCCAACAGCAGTCCATCGTCACCCACCCCCCCCCCACCTTACACCAACCCGCACTGACCAGCGTGGTGAAGTATGGACCAAACAACACCCCCCGGCCCCCATGAGCGAATTGCACGTTAATCGAGTGGATTAACAAGGGGGGAGGAAGGAAGGGGATGGGGGGCTTACATTTATCTTTTATAAATCTACACAAAAACACAGCACACACAGCTACACATAGACACCACGACAAAGCCCACGGACTCACGCGTGCGCTCGCTCCCCGCGCGCCCCGCGACGCACTCACCGGCCCTGCTTGGTGATGATCATCTCCGTCTGGTGGTGGTAAAACTTCAGCCAGAGCGCGCGGTTGCACAGGTACGCCTGCACGCTGCCGTGCGCAGCCACGGCGCCGGGCTGCGGCGAGCCGGACGGGTGGAAGGGCCCTCCTCCTCCCTGGTGATGGTGGTGGTGATGGTGGTGGTGATGGTAGCCGTGGCCCATCTGGTGCGGGTACGCGTAACTCCGCGCCGAGGCGGGCATGCCCGAGTTGAAGGACGCGGCTCCGGACAGGTAGGACGGGTGCGAGCCGTAGCCGCCGCCGGACATTGCGAAGGCGGGGTGGGTGCTCAGGTAAGGAAACATTGCCCCGGACGCCATCCGCGCGGCCGAGCTGGGCTCCGAGGAGGAGGAGGAGGCGAAGGCGGAGAAGCGCGTGGAGTCGCAGGAGGAGCGCTCGGATGATGATGCGCTGTGGCTGCGCCGCGCGGACCCCCCGTGAGAGTCCTGGGCGCGTGGCGGGGCCTCGGCGTCGAGTCGCGACGCCTCCGCCGCGTCATTGGTCGCGCACTGCGCCTCGAAGGCGCCGCCTGGCGCGTGATTGGTTGCGTCGCGCGATTGGTGGCAGCCCGCGGACACCTGGTGCCCGCCCACGCCGCCGGGAAACCACGCGGGGGCGAATCCCTCCATCATCGTCACCAGCACGGCCAGAGCGCCGCCGAGATTTTTGCTTTTGTTGTCGACGGGGAACAGAGAGAGAGAGAGAGAGCGGAGCGTGAGAGTCGAGCGGATCCGCCTCGACTCGTGCGCTCGTTCGTTCTCTCTCGCGCGCGGGGGCTGGCGGGCGAGTAGGCTAGGCGGACATGCACGCACGCCCGTTTGAGTCACACGATGTTAGTCGGCATGTGGAGGAGCCGCTGATTGCGTTTTGCTGCTCTGATTTAGGCCCGGTGTACATCCGGCGCACGCACCTACAACGAAACAACTCGGCACCGCTCGAGTTGCACGTGTGACTTCATTACGCCCCCGTTCCCAGCCTTTATGACTGTCCACCCCACTACCCCGCCGCTGATTGGCTCCCCCGTTCGCTAATTAGTGGGTGCTAATGATTCGAGACGCATGTGGATTTCTGAGCACGATAAAAATAACACAATACACAAAGAGGACGCGGGTGCACATCCCGCGATGTAAATTCTTCTCGTTGGTGGTCACCCTTAGACGGATAATGTAACCACGTCCGACTTTAAGATGATTTATTCACATCATCTTAATCTCGGTCTGTGTAAAACGCTCAACTTTAACTCGAACCCCGTTTGATCGCTGATAGATCTCGCGCGCGGGGGCCTGCGCCGACAAAATTTAGGCGACAAAACGCAGAGCCCCGATGAGCGATGGGCTGGTGATGAGCGGGTTGATTCCAGACGGGCAAATTAACCCCCTTCAGGACGCGAGGCTGTGTGCGTGGCGCGGTGCTGTCGCGTCGCCCGCGCGCGCGCAGACAATCTGACCTCGCGGAGTTTCGAGGCTTTTTTGTCTTTATTTATAGCCAGGTGAGAACCCACGGAGACCGCCGAGTGCGGGCTTTCACAGGTGAGGTCTTATTTAAGGACACCGCGCGGCCCTGCAGATGAAGGGGGTTCGTGGTGCGCGAGGGAGATTCTGCGGCGAGGTTTTGGCGTTCGCGGTGGGAATCCGACGAGCTCTAAAGCTCTTTCATGTCCACAGATGTCGGGTGAAAGCAGCGCGGTTGTGTGACGATGACCTGTTGTTATTGACGGCATCAACAACAGCAGCAGCCGCCGATCTCCCACTAAGTTGCGGTGGCGCCACCACCAATGCTCGTGCCAGGCTAGGTGCACTCGAGGTGAAAACTGCACCTCGTGGCTGATTTGCCTGCGGCCGTGCAGTGCCTCGCGCACTGAACTATGACCTGAGTTCGATTCTGGCCAATGGCTACGAACATGAGTGGGGAGCGAGGTATGTGTTCAACTGGACCCGTGGCTCGCACTCAGCAGCGTGGGTCGAACAAACGTGGCGACTTGGGGGAGACCTTCATCCAGCAGTGGATTGACGAGCATTCAAATTTGAGTTGTAATTACTAATCATTCCGTTTGAACGGATACGCCGAAGAAAGTCGATCGACAGGTGGTCTGCAGTGGGGTAAAGTGTACGGTAACTCCTCCAGTTTCCAAAACGGCTGGCCAACGTGGAAGAGTAGGCCAAATACCATCTAGACGGGTGCTCAAGAACTCCCTCCTGTGAGTGGAGGCCCTTCCGCCAGCAGCGGCGGTGAACAAGCTGTTGCAGGGCCGCGCATTTGGCTGCAAAACATTTCGAAGAACGTTTGTCCAGTCGGTACTTTGCGATTTTGTTTTATTAAAAAAAAATAAACTTCGACTGCTCGGACTCGCCGTGCGGAGTGCGCCGTGGCGAGTCCGTGGTTGCAGAACCGCGCGCCGTCTCTGACGGGAGAGACAAAGACGGCAAGGGAAACGCGATGGTGGCGCCCGATCATTTATTTTGTCGATCACAAACTCTCCCCGGGCTGACGGCGACCTTAGCGATTCAGCGGCGGCTCGGCAAGACGATTCCTCCTCGCCAGTATCGGCCTCCTTCGGACGATCAAACGCTGGCCCTTATCGCGACGATCAGAGAGCAGCAGCGGCAGCAGCGGCAGCAGCGGGGAGGGAAGCGTGGGGGACATTTGAATGCGTGGTGACTAAGCAGAGACAAAGGCACCCCCACCCCCACCGCCTCGTACAGCCTAAATGCATACACCATGAAGGGAAATGCTGTTCGCCGCGATCTCACCTATTGTATCGATCTCACCTATTGTATCGAAGGGCGGCATGGCACGCGTGGCGGGGGAGGGGCAACACAGCACGCGCCCGGCCGTCTTTGTCTCCCCAGTATTGGGTGGGGGTGTGTTTTTGTTTGGTAACACGTCGCACCAGTTATTTATTTTAAGGCTGAGTCGACCTAAAGGGTGGGCAGACAAATGGGGCGGGTTCAGTTATTCGTTGCTAAATTTGGCCATGGCCGGAAATAAAACTTAGGTTGAGGGGTTCTAATTTCATGGTGCCGACCACTACGCCACCGCTCCCCCCCAAACCCACCCACCCACATGCACAAAGACGCACAAACACACCCACATGCAAATGGACGAACGTCCATAAAGCGGCACTTAACCCCCGTAGGGCCCCATTAATGAGAGAATAAGTGGGGGGATGAAGGGTGGGCGGTGGTGGTCGTGGCAAAGGTGGTGGTGAAGGTAGAGGAGCTGGTGATTATGCTACTTCTGTTAGTGGTGGTGGTGGTGATGATGATGGTCGTGGTGGTGGTGGGGAGCGGTGGCGGTGTGGTTAGCGCCCTGCGCTACGAACCCGGCGGCACCAGGTTCCATTCACGCTCACGACTAGTAACAGTGGCGAATATGTGAACCGCTTCTGGAGCGGCCTTCCGAGGTGCTCGCGAACACAACTTGCCCCAACAGTCTGGTGGTGATGATGGTGTAGGGGCTGGTGATTGGTGGTGGTTGGTGGTGGGTGGTGGTTGGTGGTGGTGGTTGGTGGTGGTGGTGGTTGGTGGTGGTGGTGGTGGGTGGTTGGAGTTAGGTGCGCGCTGCCGTGGCCCGTTCCCTCTCCCCCATCGTCACCCACCACGTGCTCTTCGTTGTCTTGCCGCGTGATAATTGCGGGCCGCGCACTCAGACCGGGGACCTCGACTGCGCTCCATCCCCTCTCTGCATGCGCGCCCTTCCTTCCCCGACTATTTCCATGTCTACGAGACGAAGGCGGTGGGGGAGGCGCTCTGTGTATTGCAAGGTTCCCGCGGAGCTCCTAAAGAAAACAACGGCAGCGGAACCATCAGCATCACAATCAGCGGCAGCATTACAATGATCTATTTTTAGCAATTCATGACTTCTTTTTCTTCCGGGAGTGTCGTGCCAACTACTCAATCGCCAATCGAGTAATTCGCGGGTAATTTCTCAAAAGTTCAAAGAAACAAATAAACACATTTTGGGCAATGACGCGAGCACACAATGGCCTACTCTTGCGCAAGACGTCACGGGATCTTTAACGTCACTCGCGAGGCAAATCATTGCCAACCACTTCAGAGGCAGCCGCCGGCCGCAACGGAGGAAACAACAAACGAGGCGGTTTGTTAGCCGCGGCCGCGAATCAAACTCGGCTTGCAAAGCCATCACCACCATCACCATCATCATCGTCGTCGTCACCACCACCACCACCTCGAAAACGTGGCCACTCCCGCGTGCTACCGCGTTCGTCAATAACAGCGTGGCCCTACAGAGGACAAGATACAAACAGGCGACGTATCGGGTCTCCTTCTTAGCGCACAGAGAGGCCAGAGAGGACAATGCGAGTCGGAGACTGCACATCACGCAGCCTGATGAGAATTCACATTTAAAACGTGAATTGACCGGTTGTGTGAATATGAATAGTTCACCTAATAATAGCGATTGCATATCAAACAAACTCCTGAAAAACCAAACGGCGTTACTTACTCAAGAAGCGAAGTTGTATTAACAGTTAATCACGAAATGTTGCTGGCACAATTTAGTTGAGTTTGTGTCCTTCCCCCGTACCTCCGTTAAGCATGGTCGGCTACGGACGGTGTGGAAGACGTTCAACATGCACGCATTTGAAGGCCACACTTTTATTGTGTCACGTGCGAAGCGCATTTGCAGGTTTCCCTCGCTCCACGCGGGTTCCGTTTGTGCTGTTTCGCACTGTGCGTGTCTGCCCAAATTCGCTGTGTGCGGTTTGAATTCACTCATGTGCGAGTATGCACTCGGACGTGGAACAACGTTATCCGTGTACTGTGTGCGCTACTCTGTGACTGCGTGGTCCCCGCGTGGAGATTTCGCTTTGTGCGACTCTTTTTTGGAACGCATCTACCACACGCAGCGAGGGAAACCTTCATTTATTTACCAGAGTAAGCCCGCTGAGCGATCGGGTCTTTTTCGCAGGCGACCTGGCGACACACGATCGCTGATATCACCACCACGCGTGGGAATTTCTAGCAGCAGCAGCCAAATTATCTAAACTCACGCTTTGTCTTTTTTTTACGTGGAAGGCTAAACCGGAGGAACCCCGAGAAAAAAATCCACGCGACCACCACGGGCAGAGGAAGAACACGCGGACATAAGCTACACGACAGCAGGCATCGCCAGGTCTGGGATCGAACCCACAACCTCCTGCTGTACCAGGCGAGGGAGACAAGCATCTCGCATTTACAAGCCACGAAATATTCCTCCCACCACGCTTCTTTGTTTGTTCTCAACGACGAGTGCAGTGTGGCGTTGTCGAATTAGCGGCTGTAGTGTTAGCGGCTGTAGTGTTAGCGGCTGTAGGGTTAGCGGCTGTAGGGTTAGCGGCTGTAGGGTTAGCGGCTGTAGTGTTAGCGGCTGTAGGGTTGGCGGCATCTCAACAGGGTGGTGGTCCACATGTCTTGTGACCCCCACTGAATTGAGCCCGTACCAAGTTTTTGCATATTCATTTCAGTTTTTAAATAAAGCTTACTTCCAACAAACTTGTTTTTTTCCCAAAGACCATTATAAATCATCGGATTCCACCAGCACAAACAAATATTCCGATAAAGTTTTCGAGAATGAAATGGGGGTCACGAGACATCTGCACCAACCCTTGTCCCTACACACAGTGGGGGTTCTGGGTTTGACCCCCCCCCCCACACCACAAAGACGCCGCGCGCGCCTCTCCGGGTGCCGCGCAAGTGGAGCTCGTTCGCCGCTCCAACAACAACAACAAAAAACCCCTCCGCTGTCGGGCGCGATTACTCCTCGCCGCCGCGTAATTGCGCGCAGCAGCCCACGGAGGCCCCCCGAGTTTCGATCGCCGCTGCTCCCTCCGCGCTCGCACCTTTCGCCTCTCGAAGCTTCTCCGACGGCCGCGCCGCGACTCGCGCGCACCGCCCCGAGCCAAGGCGATGCCAAAAATACAAGGGGCGCAATCGACTCTAATGAAATCTGAGGTCCGTCAAGATATGGGGGAGGGGGGTTGGGGGGGGGCGCGCGCTTGGCTCATGCACCCCCCCCCCACCACACCCTCTCTCTCTCTCTCCCCTGCACCCTCCTACTCACCCCGCGTGCCTTTGTATTCTTTACGCAACCCACCCCTCCCACCCCCCACTTGTATGTTGAACTTCTTTCGCACAGCACGCAGCTAACCGCGCTAATCGTGGGTGCGATTGACGATGCCATCCCCTGCCGCCTCCTCTCGTGTGCCGTCGCTTTCTAGCGCTTCGCAACTGCAACGCATCCGTCAACCCCGCAGTGCGAAAAGCGACGTTCCGGACCATGACCCTTCTTCGTAGCGCACGCACACACACACAGAGGTGACGTCGGCTATGTATATGTGTGTTACTTTAAGGCCACGGTGTTATTCACGCGCGTGTAGTTTGGTTGTTTGTTGTGTTAATTGGAGTCCACTTGTGCGCTAATGCTAATGCAGCAGCAGCAGCAGCACCAAGAGCGCAACCCCCACATCCGCGACAGCAGCAGCAGCTGCCGAACAGCGCGAGCCCGTGGGTGTCTCTGTGGCCCTGGTCGCTGTGAAGTTAGAATTTGGCCTTCGCTGTTTCTCAACAAGACCAAGTTTGAGTCATCCTCACGATCATCAATGCCCCGAGGTGGTTCGGTATCGTTGAAGTGACGTCATCATAATCAAATCCATGTGGGATCAGGAATAACATCGAATATTATTCTCGTTAACATTAATTTTGATTAGTGGCGTAACTATCATCATACACACTTTGTATTGATATTCTTTGTATTGAATAATCATAATAAAAACACGTGTCATCATCATTATCAACAGTGCGTGTTGGCTCTTCAAGAACATTGATAGCAGGGAGGCCTTCATCCAGCAGTAGATTGACAAAGCTGCACGAGACGGACAGTGACAGAGACTTTATTGGAGCTCCTCCAACCTGTGGACTCGACGAAAGAGTTCCGTTCAACTTGAATTTCCTTGACACGTGTTCACCGACACGTGCTCAAAAAAACCTTTCAGCACATGTGAAGGTTGCCAAGAGGCGTGTACGACGCTCACCAGTCGATGGGACAAAGACAAATCGCACACGTAGACACATCCAATTTCTAATAAACATCTTTAAAAAAGAAGTGTTGTGTTAAGGTTGTTTTGTCGTGTGTAGTTTGTTGTCTCCGCACCTCCGATTAGCACGGTTGGCCACGTACGGTGCAAAAGAAGTTCATCATACACGCATCCTTGCTCCGATCATCATCGTCATCTCATGCTTGCAATCAATCCGCTGCTGGGTGAAGGCCTCTCCCCCGGGCCGCAGTGCCCTGCACGCGAGCCGATGTCACCTCTAGCCGTGATCCCTCCATAGACAAGCGAGATGCCTTTGAGATAATACTCATCACTGCCATCTCCTGGCCAATCCGTAGCCCCGCACCTACAACACCTGGCAAGCCCTGATGCTGGGTGGTAGTCGCCCTTCGAATCATTCACGAGCGGGGGATTCAAATCTCTCTGAATATTTTGTGTCGCTGGCAGTCCGGCCCGTTGACACACGACGTATCTTCACAGTAGCCTGCGTCAGAATCAGTGAGAATAGTTCTTTATCCTGGAGAAATCCGATTAGCGATGAAGCTCTTATTCACAAATGTTCAGTCTGGGCGGGTCAGAGAGTTACGACAAATACAGAAAAACAAAATGAGTGTAAAGTCTAGGAAAGGTAAGCACATCACTAAAACAATAAAAATAAACCGAAAATATTTTTATTTTACCAGGTTAAGGCCCGCTGAGCTATGCGGCTCGTTTTCAGAAGCGACCTGGCCACAAATGACAGCTCAACGAAGTGGCTTAGCACGTGGCAATGTGTAGTAGCCAAAAGCTCTAAACGCGTGATGTTGATTCTAAAAATGTGGAGGGGAAAAAAATCCACGCGAGTGAGAAGTATACCGGAAGTGGTGTACGTTGAACTTCTTTCGCACCGCACGTAGCCAACCGTGCTAATCGGAGGTGTGCCGGGTCTGGAACGTCGGACATCATGCCGAGCAACGCGCGGCACAACTCTAGAGCCTAGCGGTGAGCGAAGTGCCTGGGTCGCCTTTAACACAACAATAGCGTTGAACACAATAATCGGAGCGTCGCTGTGGAGAATGCAAGTAGGAATTTAAATGGGCAAAGGCGCCTTTAAATATGTGAAAGATTGGGCGGCAGCGCAGCGCCGCGGGACCACGTAGGCCTGAAAGAAATAAACTCCGAGTTTGATTCCCGAATCGGACGCCCTTCATATGTGGAGTTTGTATGTCCTTCCCCTCTTTACAGGGTTTCTCTCGTGGCAGAATAACAAACTGGTACCGATCAAATCATCCCAAATGCCGAAACAGATATCACCTGCAAACTATTCATTTGGCATTGCACGCAGCAGCGACAGCATCTCACACCACGGCGAACGCTCAGCCGAAGAACTCTCTTTAATAATAAAAAAAAGGTCTTGAGACTCAGTGAGGTCCTTCCTCGAAAGAAGCGTAACAAATAATAATACTAATAATATTCTTCGTTATTTCTTTCACGTAGATAGAAAATAAAAATACATTTAAAATAATAAAATAAAAAGATCCACGACGTTTCGATCGCAACACAAGCGATCTTCATTTTATATTTATATTCTATCTACGTGACTTTACCGAAAGAACCAAGAACATGAATTCCTGCAGTCACGAAAGTTTTAAGTCAACATTTAAATAATAATAGACTGCGGGGAGTGGTGGCGCAGTGGTTAGCGCGCTGTGCAGAGACGACTGAAGCGAAGCCCCGCTAACAGGGCT